TTTCCCCTTATTTTCCCTGCAACTTTATTACGTAGGATTCTTTTTATGCCATCAGTTTTGTGTAAGAAGCTAATCCAGCCACATTTACATTATCATTGTTAAATGCCAGTGTTGATTAGGGTTCTTTGTAAGCTATAAATAAATAAGCTAAATTTGGTGTCATGAATTAACAAAACATATTCTGTAGCCCATTAGACAAATAAGAAATGAAATAAAGTAGAGGTTCACTCAGATCAAACTTTATCTTACATTAGTTTGAAACACTTACTCATCCACACTGGCAGTCAAATGTGGAAGGTACGTACATATATTTACATATATATACATATATGTATATATATTTACTCAATAAAAGCACAATTCTGAGGTACTTGTACTGAAGTATTTCTATTGTGTGTTACTTGTGTTCTACCTCTACTTCACTCTTTCACTTTGCAGATAGAGATCGTACGTACAAAACATCTGATGATTTTATAAAACATGATACACTGTTATATATTTAACAAGTAAAAGCTGCTGACACATCAATCCATCAGTAATAATACTCCAATAATATTATATTCTGCACAGGCTGATCTTTCCTACTTTTATATTTAAGTTATAATAATTCTGTACATTTACATAAGTCAAGTATGCTCCTACACCACTGATGATAATTGCATCTACGTGTAGAATTACTATTTGATTATTTCGACATCTTGTTAAGATTTATGAAATCAGGACTAATTAGGCTTGTAAATGATGATTATTGTCATTATTAATTAATATGCCAATCACCTAATCATTTTGTCTATAAAATACCACAAAACAGTGAAGAAATATTCCCAGTTTCCAAGGTGATGTCATCAAATGTCTTGCTTTCATATATATATATATATATATATATATATATATATATATATACTAACATATAGAACTAAGAAAACTAGCAAATATTCACATTTGAGAAGCTGGAACCAGTAGATGTTTGGCTTATTTGCTTTAAAAATTACTTCAGTCATTAATGAACTGTCGAAATTGTTTTGCCTGGTTCATTTTCTGACTAATTGATTAATTAACTCATCAGTTCAGCTGTAGAACACTGAATGGACACACTTTATTTAAAAGCTTATCATACTTGATATATGGCTTTCTTTAAATATAGGACCATCAGGCTGTGGCAGGTCTACTCATCGTGCCAAATGGGCTTTTACACACACACACACACACACACACACACACACACACACACACACACAGACAGACACACAGACACACATACACAGACACAGACAGGGGGACACTGAAGATTAATCAGATACTCTACACAGGTGCAGGACCACAGCTATGGGCAGGGTGTATGCGCACACACACACACACACACACACACACACACACACACACACACACACACACACAGACAGACAGACACACAGACACACATATACAGACACAGACAGGGGGACACTGAAGATTAATCAGATACTCTACACAGGTGCAGGACCACAGCTATGGGCAGGGTGTATGCACACACACACACACACACACACACACACACACACACACACACACACGTAAACAATCACCCACATTACAAAACACATTATTATATCAAAATTAAACTCACACACTTGCACCATGACACGCACACACATTCCTGGTTCAATGAGGCCGTTACTAATAGTGCTGTGTGATAAGCGTCTTGTTTGTGCTGCTGACTTCTGATTATGGAAGCTTGTTTGCTAGTTTGCATGTTCTCTGAGCTTGATTACAGTTTGATTCAGGACCAGTCCGCATGTGTAATCATCATAATCAAAATCACAACACACCCATCCGCTCTGCCATTACTCTGATTGCCTTTAACTAGCTTAAGTCATGTGTGTACGTGTGTGTGTGCGTGCATAATGTTGAGTGTATTTGACCTCAGTATTTTCCTTTTGCATGCAGGGCTGCCCTGGATACGTGCACACGCAGAATAGTTTACGTGCTCAAGTGTATTACAATTTGTTCTACAATTGTTTACATACATTTTTCAATACTGAGTCGACACTAACTGCATTCAAACCACACCTTTCAAAATTCACAAGATGTTTTTTTCACTCAAATTTAACCACCACTAAAACTGTGTATTTACACTGCATTTTGCACTGTTGTTAAAACTGTTGAACCTGATACAAAATTACTCTAGATTAGTAGGCAGTCTGCTACATCTAAAACCAAGCCAGGTTATACTTTTCAATTTCATGCCATGTATGTACTGTAAAAGGGCAAATCTTTGGAATGAGTCTCCAGTACACACGCAGCCAGCAGAGAGACCCCACAGGAATTATTTTCCTCATGGAGGTGGAAAGTTCCTGACCATCTTTCACATCATTAGAAGTCCCTGTTGGACACAGTGAATGCTGAATTTCTGGACATATCTGCAGAAGATTGCCAGGGATGGAACGGAAAAAGATTATTTCCCCAGAGAGGAGATAAGGTGTGATGTGGATGAGAAGACAGGGTTGATGTATTTCTATATCCTTGACATGTATGTAGTGAATATATATAGTTTTTTTATTCCATTACTGACTTGATGCAAAAATTATCCATATGATTGAGGATATTTTAAACCTGCAACAAGCTCAGCTGCTGCTGACTTGGTCAAATCTGCAGAGCTGAAAAGAAAACAATCTTAAGCACACAGGTTTAACACACCACTTACTTTATGGTATTTTATTCAGCGTGGTATTAATGATGCGTCATGTTTCAGATCGTCTGTCTCATCTGTCAGCAGCTGTCTGTATTTTCTCTGCACAGACTTCTTTTTATCTCGTTGCCTCCACAAGTAGATAGCGGGCTAGCTGCGGCTCTGTGGGCGCAACAGGACACCGAGGGCTCTATTGTCGTGAACCCCGCGCAGATCGCAGTCAGGTGCGTCCGGCCCCGGTGCGTCAGGAGTGTGCCAAACGCACTTTTGGTAATTTCGTGGCCAGACTCGCCTGTGGAGCACTTTGATACAGAGTGGGACAAGAATGCCTTATCATATACTTTATATTTGTGTGTGTGTGTGTGTGTGTGTGTGTGTGTGTGTGTGTGTGTGTGTGTGTGTGTGTGGATCATCATGACCAATCACATTCACTATCGCTCTCTCGGACAGTTTGGGAATCTTGTTGAGAGTTTTGCTCAGAGCAGACTTCTTGTTGTTTTACATGGATACAGCAGCTGAAATATACGACCGAGAGCAGATGATGCCTCTTTTTAAGTTGAATTAACTTTTCTGGGCCTGTTGATGATCCTAAGGCCATCGTGTCTGCGATTTGTCATCACAATGATCCACACAATTCAGTTAATTCAACGTTTTGCATGCTTTTCTTCTGAAATTATTTTAGACCCAGTTAGATTTGACTCTTTTACACGCTAAAATAATTCACAACCCCACAATCTTGGAACAAATAAGTTGCCTCTTTTATCTTCAAATAAACTTGGATTTTTAAAATAACACTGAAATGACGCATATTTTGGGTGGAGACATCTCAGCAGAAGTGACTGGACTTAAGGGAGTTATTATACTTTCAAGTGATACACAATTTTCAGTCATGGATCTGTGTGAACTGTTTTCAACGTGTCAGTATCCAACACGCCTGAATCTGTAGAATAATTAATCATAACCGACCAGTTTGACGTGCACAGCAGCACAGTGGTTTCTGTGGTTATTTCGCAACACTCTGTTGTTTAATTGTTGCACTAAATGAAATCAGCGGATCTAGTGACAATGCGCAGAATCACTCCAGTTAGACGGCAGTAGGAATCACTCATCTTTATTCTGTCTGGCTGTCATTAATGGCTTTATAATAGGCCTATTTTGTGTGTGTGTGTGTGTGTGTGTGTGTGTGTGTGTGTGTGTGTGTGTGTTGTGGGGGTGTGTGTGTGTGTGTGTGTTGGCATTCATCACGTCCTGGGGACAACAAACTGTTTACACAGTCACGTCATGGGGACCTCTAACAGTATGGGGACGAAAAATGAGGTCCCCTAAAGGGAAACTCTTTTAAATGAATGCAGGAGTCTATCTGAAGGTGCCTGTGTGGTTTTTAGCTTTGGCCCATTGGGCATGTTTTCCAGTTAGTGTGTGTGTGTGAACGGGGCATGCTTGCGCCCCTTACTGTATGAGCTGGTAAGGCACTCACCGTTCCACACACACAGATCTTCCAAATATGGTATGTTACCGCCCACTTCCTGGTCCCCATTAAGAAGGATTTTAGGAGCAAACACAATTTTCAGTGTTTAAAGGGAGCATCGCAAAGGCCCTTCAATTAAAGATGTTTGTCACATAAAAAGAGGAACAACAACACCACAAGGTAAGCAATATTATCTTATTTACTTACTTGCTATAATCATTATTTGTATAGATGACCATTTTAAACCACTAATGAGGTTAATTAGTGTTAATTAGTTAGTAGGATAGCTAGTTAGCTTTAATTAGCAACAGAAGGCTAGTGTAACTAGCAAATTTACAATGTTTTACTAACAATGTTTTTAGCTTTCCCTGAAAGCTACTGTTAGTTGTTACATGATGGATGGATTATGTGCATTTCTAGGAGTTTATACCAACTAAAAAAAGTGAAATATTTTTCAGTGTGTAACAGAGAAATTTAAAATACATTTCCAGGTAATGAATTTAGTAATATATAGAGGTGTAACTTAATCCTAGGTATATATAGGTGAGATATATTATAGAAAAATTGTAAAGAGATGTTTTGATGATTTAAAGCAAGCTGTCCATGTTAAGAGAAAAGGCATCTGGGCAGGGATTTTTGGGACCTGAGCTTGACAAGGCTGCAATTTGATGTTTGTATCTTTAAAGTGACTAGTGAAGTGATTCCACATGCCTCCTCTACATAAATGGGTCCTGATTGATTTTACTACCAGAAAAAAGTAAACTTAGCTTACTTATAATTATTAATATTAATTTATTATTAAAAATTAATAATTTAGAATAGGGCATGGCAAGAAGGGAAGGCATCTGACACTGAGCCGACAGGAAAGGGGCGAGTATGGGGCAAAAAGTTATAGAGCTAAGCCTCTGAACACCCACACAGTTTTTTCAGTTTATCTTGCTGATTATTAGTCTTCTTGGGACTGTATGGGTGTGTATACTGTGATTGATTGACATCTTCCTGAGTCTTCTGTCAGCTTTGTTACACCTGTTAGGGCAGGACAAAATATACCTTCACCATTCGTATTGGAGATTTAGATTTGTGACCTCATGGAGTTTCATCAAAGCTTAAGCCCACCCTAAACCTGAGCAGAGGTCTAATCAGCCATAATAACTGAAAACACCTGTGTGGATGTTCACTTAGAGCCTCTAATTGTATTGTAATAGAACTAAAGCCAAAGCTGTCTCATTAAACATTTCTCTGCAGTTTTAAATGCCACCAAGGTCAGTCCTCTTAAGGATGCCCTTCAGCATGTTCACTTCATATACATATTGAAAATGATTTTGAGACATTTAATTGCAAAACTTCAGGATGCATTAGATAAGCTTAGGTCAATAAAGCTGCCATCAAATGCACTAATAATTTGGAATTGTGTTTTTAGGACATATTGCCACAGACTAATTAACATTCATAATGTCCTGTTTTTTTTGAAAATGTATTACTTTGTCTTACAGGACGTGGTGTATTTGCCCTATCTTCATTCTTCAAAGGAGATTTTGTACTGGAATACAGAGGAGACATGATAGATGATGCAGAATCTCAAAGGAGAAGGTGCATGTATCACTCATCATGTGTTGCATTCATGCTTCATTCAAGTGGAGAGGGAGAACATGGTGGTAAGATTTTACATTACACCTAAACTATACTCCTTATGCTAAACCATAATAATCTCCTTACAGCTCATAGTTAAAATGAAGGCACTGATTGTGTTGTATACAGTTGAAACCAGAAGTTTACATACACTATAAAAAGACGCATACGCTTTTTTTTTCTCACTGTCGGACATGAAATCAGACTTTTCCTGTTTTAGGTCTGTTAGGATTACCAAAATTATTTCTATCTGCTAAATGCCAGAATAATGAGAGAAGGATTTTTTAGACAATCTTTTATTACTTTCTTCAAAGTCAGAAGTTTACATACACTAAGAATACTATGCCTTTAAACAATTTGGGAAAGCCCAGATGATGATGTCATGTCTTTGGAAGCTTCTGATAGGTTTATTGACAACATTTGAGTTAATTAGAGACACACACCTGTGGATGTATTGTAAGGCACACCTGAAACGCACTGCTTCTTTGTGTAACATCATGGTAAAGTCTAAAGAAATCAGCCAAGATATCAGGAAGAGAATTGTGGACTTGCACAAGTCTGGTTCATCCTTGGGTGCAATTTCCAGATGCCTGAAGGTGCCATGTTCATCTGTTCAAACAATTATACGCAAGTATAAACACCATGGGAATGTCCAGCCATCATACCGCTCAGGAGACGGGTTCTGTGTCCCAGAGTTGAACGTGCTTTGGTCCGAAATGTGTATATCAACCAACAGATGATGCTGCCATCCCTCTATTTCACAGTTGGGATGGTGTTCTCAGGCTTGCAAGCTTCCCCCTTTTTCCTCCAAACTTAACGATGGTCATTATGGCCAAACAGTTTGATTTTAGTTTCGTCAGACCACAGGACATGTCTCCAAAAACTAAGGTCTTTGTCCCTGTGTGCATTTGCAAACTGTAATCTGGCTTTCCTATGTGTCTTTTGGAGTAATGGCTTCTTCCTGACAGAGTGACCTTTCAGCCCATGTCGGTACAGTACTAGTTTCACTGTGGATAAAGACACACTCTTACCAGCTTCAGCCAGCATCTTCACAAGGTCTTTTGCTTTTGTTCTTGGGTTGATATGCACATTTCGGACCAAAGCACGTTCAACTCTGGGACACAGAACCTGTCTCCTTCCTGAGTGGTATGATGGCTAGACACTGCCATGGTGTTTATACTTGCGTATAATTATTTGAACAGATGAACGTGGCACCTTCAGGCATCTGGAAATTGCACCCAAGGATGAACCAGACTTGTGCAAGTCCACAATTCTCTTCCTGATATCTTGGCTGATTTCTTTAGACTTTCCCATGATGTTACACAAAGAAGCAGTGCGTTTCAGGTGTGCCTTACAATACATCCACAGGTGTGTGTCTCTAATTAACTCAAATGTTGTCAATAAACCTATCAGAAGCTTCCAAAGACATGACATCATCATCTGGGCTTTCCCAAATTGTTTAAAGGCATAATAATCTTAGTGTATGTAAACTTCTGACTTTGAAGAAAGTAATAAAAAAATGTTCTAAAAAAATCCTTCTCTCATTATTCTGGCATTTAGCAAATAGAAATAATTTTGGTAATCCTAACGGACCTAAAACAGGAAAAGTGATTGTCTAATTTCATGTCAGACAGTGAGGAAAAAAAAGCATATGTGTCTTTTTATACAGTGTATGTAAACTTCTGGTTTCAACTGTACATATGTTATGATGGTAATCTATTGTGAATCAGAAGTCCCTAGCAGTTTTATGTAATGCATCTAGAAAGCTGATGGTAATGGGATATTCAGGACAGATTTTAATGGTTGATGGAGGAGGAGGAAATATTGAATTTGATGATTTTGTCGTTGAAGTTTCGTGCCTGTTGGCTTGAACTTAACTTTAGAAATTTGACATTAAGAACATACATTAGTGTAATTAAATATTATGCAGTGATAACATCGGACTTAAACTTTTTTTTCATATTTTGAAATGTTTGCAGATGACCAT